CGACTTCGCCGTATGAGGCAGTCGTACGAATTAGCGACATCGGTCGCGCTTGTCATAGGACGGTCTACAGTCCATGTGGACAACAAGAACATCAGAACGTGACTGAGTGACTGAGTTTCGAAGAAAGTACAGAATTGCCCCCGACAATGTTTGTTACACAAATATCAAAGTGCACACGGCTACACGCGAACGGCAACAAAAGTGTTGTCCGTCAGTTAAGATCCATCTCACCTTTTCATATACAAATGGCCGTGGTCTCGTCCTGGCCATTGACAAACATGGAACACTACTGCCATCTATGTGTAAATGCCAGAACCTATATGTCAGCGGCCGGACGCCGCGTGTATACATGCACTTCATCGGAGAAAGTATTTGGACTGTGGTTGAGGTATGTCGGCTCCTTCGAGAAAAATCGCAGCAACGGCCTCGGTCTGAGACAAAATATGAGGACAAGCTACCGATTTTGAACGTCAAGGTGATATGCTCCGATCATTGAAACGATGCTGGAAGATAGCTTCATCTCATTCAGCGTCACAGCCGACAATGATTTTCGGGCAAAGCCGTGCAAAGGCTCCGGTTGGGAGCGTTGTCCGTGCATCTCTCTGCGGGCCTTTCTCGGGTCAATAGGCAAATACGAGCGTGTCGAAAGTGAGTATCCCATCTTTTTTGTATTTTTCTCTTATTACTTTATTACGGCTTGATCAGTAATATCAATTTTCCCGAAGTCATTTTGAATAACTCAAAATTTATGTTTGAAGTAGCCCTCCTGCGAAATAAATGTCACTGAACTCCTTGCTTATCACTATAAAAGCAATGTCCTTCATTTGCCTTGCTTTTTCTAACGTGTGTGTATTTTGTCATGTTTGGAATTCACTAGTGTGTCAAAATGTCTGTATAATAAATGCCACGAAAGCTTGAAACACTATTTAGACCAAAAATACGCCAATATATGGCCAATATTCCGCCAATTCGGCGAAACGTTATATAATCATTTTTTTATTACCCCTCTATCGCGTTAACCACAGTGGCTCTTTTCGAGGCACACTTTGGCTCAGGGAATGGGTGCATTACCTGGTCTATAGTGAAGCACTCGTTCAAAACTTCGGCCAGTGCGCTACTCAGTAACAGGCCTTTACCGTCCGCTGGGCCAATCACAAACTTTTTTATTCGCACCAGTAGAGGTGCCACGGCGGTTGTCATAGCGACGGTGTCCGCGAACGCATGAAAAACGTAGCACTGTTATAAAGCGTTGAGAGCGTAAATAGGACTAAAAGTAATCGAAATTGGTATCCTCACTATGTCTTGATGGTGCCGCATTGGCACAACCCAATGTTATCATTAGACGTAGCTGGTCCAGAGGCTTCACAAGAGTATTTGACTAGGTTTTGAAATATTGCCCAAAGGTGAGACGCTACCTTTAAAAACAAGACGAGGTGCAAAAAGGGTACGTAGTCAAAATTTTCCTCGAGGGCGAGGCAAGTATCAGAATTTTGACCGAATTCCCGCGAAGTCGCCCACTATCTAGTCAAAACCTCCCAGATTCTGATTTTGATAGGGCAGGATCTAGAGGGGTTGGGGTATGGCCCCCATGCATCCCCATCCCGGCAACGGCCCCTGAAACAAGCGTGTCAATGAAAAGCACGATAAAAAGAACCGCTATCATTGAGGTCATGAAAGGGGCAAATCACCGGGTAAAATGTGATTCAACGTATCTCCAAGGAAGTTGTAGACCACTTAAGCTCATTGTTTCACATCCCCGATGCCGGTTTTCCTGTTGAGAGCCACTCACTACGACGCGTTTTCGACTATATCCTCCCCTCAATTTCTTCTGGAAGAGATATCAGCCTTTCACTTTGTGACGCCGCCTGGTTTGGTTTCGCACATATTGGTAGCAAGAGCGTAGCAAGACTCCTGGAACCAATGTGCCGGCGTGCTTACACATGCCATGAAACTATCTTTACGAAGGCAAAAATGAAACGCTTCACTATATTAGAATAAAAATAGCTATTTCACGGTACAGGCTGCAATGGGCCATAATCCTGGCTGAAGTTATACATTTATAAGGTATGGCGGGAGGATTCGCGAGCCCAGCAGATCAAAGATATAAAAAACAATAACTACAAACTGGAATATGTGACCTTGAACACTATCACTGACTCCCTGCTTCGCCAACTTAAAGAGGTGCATCGGAAAGTTCCCGATGGCTAATACCGACAGTTGATTGCACCCCTCAATACATGCAAATCCGCATGCACAATACACAGGAGCAATCCCGGGGCCACGGAAGGTAGCTGTTATTAGCAAACCCCGACATCCCCGATCGTCGGCAGGTACCCCGATAATCAAATAAACCCGACGATCATGGCTCCTCATGTTATGAAAAACCCTCACCGCACAGCAGCAAGCTGATGACGTATTCCTGCCTGACAGGGATGGATTCACTTACACCCGCTCAAGCCCGCATCAAGTGTGGCGTCACACCCCAGGTGTACATCAGGAGCGGAATACTGCCGCGTTCGAGTCGGCCCGAGTGTGACGACACATCCCGGGCCGCCGTACTCCCCAGGTCTGCATCAGGTGCGGAACACTGCCGCGTTCGAGTCGGCCCGAGTGTGACGACACATCCCGGGCCGCCGTACCCCCCCCCCCCCCCCTCCCCCCAGGTCTGCATCAGGAGCGGAACACTGCCGCGTTCGAGTCGGCCCGAGCATGACGGCACATCTCGGCTCGCCGCACTCCCCAGGTCTGCATTAGGAGCGGAATACTGCCGCGTTCGAGTCGGCCCCAGCATGACGGCACATCCCAGGCCGCCGTACCGCGTCAGTTCCGTTCGCTTCTGTATCGCGAGATCACACACGCGCACCGAGTCGCGGCCGCTCAAGCATGACGTCATCACTCGACTCCGTACCGCGAGATCACGCCATCGTGATCACCGTCCGTCCCGACTCCGCTCCGCGCCACCGATGCCCCCCCCCCCCCCACACCTCCCCCTCACCGCCGCCCTGGCCTGGGCGGTGGCATGCGCACCCCTGCTGCAGACACATCGCCGACGTGCGGCACGCCCGGCCAGCCGGCGCGCCCGTGCAGCCGGCGGCGCCGGCGGCGCTGACCGGCGCGGGCGGCCGCGTGCCTCGCCGCCGGACCGTCTGTCACCCAGCGCCGCTTGCCGGCCGCTACAAGGTGAACGGCGAGTGAGCAGCGCCCCCGGCAAATAGTTTTTGCTCGGCAGTGCGGGCTCAAGACAACAAGGCCGGCCCGGACGCGGCCGCGCTCCGACATGTAGGTACCACCGGGAGGGGCGGAGCGGGGTGCCGGCCCGTGAGCCACCCATTGACGGTGAACCGCACCGCATGCTAGAGGGGTGTGGGCCCGACCCTGTCATTTGGCGACAAAGGAATGCAGGCGAGGCTTTGAAACACCACGCGCTGCGGGGTCTTTCTCGCCTGTATGTCCTGGACAGTTAAATGTGCGGCACTTGACGCCCTCGTGGTCCGCACAAGTCTATTCGCCGAGGGAGGTTGATGGCAAGCCATTCAAACAGACAGGCTCGCCCCGAAACGCGCCTCAGATGTAGCCGTAGGCTCACCAGATACGTCCGTGCACCGCGCAGTTATTGACTCCGGCTTTCAGGCCACGGTGAACTCCACGGACCAACCGTGCAGGCGACTCGACAAGGACTGCAGAGAGCGTCAACGCAAGAGTGAGTACGCCAAAGGTGGGAGTTGTACGGGCGGGAGGTCGTCCGTCATCGGCGCTGGACGTATCACTCTCATCTCAGGTGTCTGCACAGACAACACGGCGACGCATGACTGCACAGCATGCATGCGGCGCCTGATGCATTGCCAGCGAGCTGGCGTGTTCGCCGGCCGGCTCTCCCGAGATGGAGCGATTGGCTCTGAGCCGCGACAGCGGCGCTGGACAGGGCCGCGACAGCGACGCTGGACAGAGCTGCGACAGCGACGCTGGACAGGGTCGCGACAGCGACGCTGGACTGAGCCGCGACAGCGACACTGGACAGGGTCGCGACAGCGACGCTGGACAGGGTCGCGACAGCGACGCTGGACAGGGCCGCGACAGCGACGCTGGACGGGGCCGGGATAGCGACGCTGGACAGAGCCACGACAGCGACGCTGGACTGAGCCGCGACAGCGACGCAGGACAGGGCGACGCTGGACAGGGCCGCGACAGCGACGCTGGACAGAGCCGCGACAGCGAAGCTGGACTGAGCCGCGACAGCGACGCTGGACAGGGCGACGCTGGAGAGGACGACGCTGGACAAGGCGACGCTAGACAGAGCCGCGACACAGACTCTGGCAAAACCTGGACCTAGTGTCGATGAGCTATTAGGCTATTCTATGTGCCTAATATATATATATATATATATATATATATATATATATATATAGGTGGGGCATATTAGGCTATTAGGCTATTATTATATGACCTAGAGCTATTAGGACCATCCACAGCGTAGGCGTGCGCGCGTTTCAGCACCATGTGGAGGATAATGCTGACATGCATCAACGTTGCCATCGGTGGTTGTTTTCGAATCAATAAAATGGATGCGTTTCGTGTTGCGATCGCAAGAGGACGACTAAACATTTGAATACAAGGTGTCGTGCTACTGTAGATATCTTCATCAAGATTTTGAGCGATATGAACACACTTGACCTAGCTGCATAGGCAGCTAAAAAGCCAGCACTTGGCCATGCTGCACTGGCCGTTGTCATAAGGGTGCAACCTCGTTCCCCCATCCCTCCTTTGGTTGGCAAAAAAATCAAGAAATGTGTTTATCAGCCCCAAACTTCTTTTCAGAGTTTTGCCGGGTGCGGAGTGTGTTCTGCTCCTGGCATTTGGGAGATGGACAGTGCCGCAGACGTGACGGCGCCTACCTTTGGCGATGTCGTCGATCTTGGGACGGCGCCTACCTTTGGCGATGTCGTCGATCTTGGGACGTCGCCTACCTTTGGCGATGTCGTCGATCTTGGGACGTAGCCTACCTTTGGCGATGTCGTCGATCTTGGGACGTATGCCCTCGTCGGCTCCACCGATGACGGAGAAGCCGAACCGCTTGCCGTCCTCGGCCATGGAAATCTCGACTTGGTGCGTGTCCTGAAGAAGGCGACGTCATGTTACCGGTGCCCTCACGCCAGCACATCAAGATTATGCTGAAAGAGTTGCCGAGTTTCCAACTTCTCTGCCGTAGTTGCCGAGACCTGCTATAAATCCTTAAAACCGCCCTTAAACTGGTTCAGCTACGCTTCGCGTCTGAGCTGTGTGGTCAGCCGTAAGCCAACACGCAATTGCTTACGTGATTACCCATTCCCATCTGTCGTCTGTCAAAAAGCGCTGACCCCGTGTCATTTCGATATTGGGTCGTCAAAATCTGGGCTTTGTTTCGGCTTGTCCCGTGAAGTTTTTGCGAAGACAGCAAGCAAACCTTGTCTACGCCAAGTGAGTGGAGATGCTTTATTTGTCCACACCGCAATGACGCGGAAAAATCACGTCTGATTAAACAGATCGTATGCAAGTGCCTTTTTAATAAAAAGGCAAAGCTCCCAAGAAATCTGGCGCCTTGCTGCTGAGAAGTGCAAAAGCTTCGCTTAGTGAACGCAAACACATAACTCCCAAAATTGTCGCAGCCAAATGCCAGACAACTGCGCATGGTCTCTGAAAAGACAGACGATCGGAGCACCAGACCGGCAATTACGTGGGAACCTACCACTCTCCGCAGTTTTTATGCTCCACACTGGCCATGTGGGAACATGCATTCTGGTATAACTTGCCCAGGCAGTTCGCAAAGGTAACGTCCGAGGCAAATCCACGGAAAAGTTACGAAAAGACACCGCGGTGGACCAACGTTGGCAGTCGAAGGAACAGGGACATCATCATATAGGGGAGAAAACTCACAACCGACACGCCACCCGATTCGGCACGGACGTGATATCTCACTCGAGTACAGTGTCCGAGCGGACACCGTATCCTACGCGGACACCGTGTCCGGGCGGACATTGTCTGCGGGCCTCCACAGCGCACCCGGCCGTACCAGGAAACGGCATTCGTTACGGTCGGGTTCCGCTGGGTCAAAAGCCAAGAGGCCATTCGGTGATAACGAATGGAGCCGGCTCGGTAGGCAGACACGCAAGCCACTCCCATACGCAGCATCGCTGGCCGGCCGAGTCGGCCACAGAAGCTGTACAGTTAGACGCCGCTGTGGGGCTCCCGAGCGGCTGGGGTGAATAAATGGGACTTGATGAGCGCTCTGGGCCAGATTACGGTGATTAGTTGGCGCTGGTTGACTCAGAATTAAACTGGCCACTAATTTCTGTCATAAACCTAATGCATATACATCAGAAATAAAGACGATGCGTTGAATAGGTTTTGATGGCTTCAGGACTTCCACTGTATTGGAGTTTTCCTGGTTTTCGTCGCATGCCTGTGGACCATTGCAAAGGTCGTGTACGGCCCAGCCACATAATGGGTGGTCGAGTTCTGTGACGTCATCTCACTGGCACGCTCGATGACCGCCGACTTCTCCAGAACGCCTCGGGGCCCGGTACCCGTCGGAACCTCCAACTCTCCCCGAGCCCCAGACCCTTGCGGTGCCAGCACACAGCAGGGGGGTCTCTCCGACCGTCACAGCATGGCCTCCTCATCAGGCGTCACTTCGGCCGTATTAGCGGTACCGTCTGCATCACCGACCGAGCCGTGTCGGAAGCCCCGGGACCTCCGGCGTGTCTGATCTGCTGGCGACTTCGGGCGTCACGGGCCACGGCCGTCACGAGACCACTCGACCTTCAGCAGGGCCTTGCACGCATCCGAATCGACCACAATCTGTCTTTTGTCCGGAGTTCAGTGGTGGGTCATGATCTTGTCCGAGTTCTAGGCACCGTTGCCCTTGTATGCGCAGCTGTATTAATGCAACACTAAAAGTAAGTATTACCGACGGAACACAAACTCGGGGATGCAGAGGTGGATAATGTAGCGTCCAACGATTGCGATTGTGAGCGTGGATTACTCGTCATAATTCGTGTAATCAGCCGCCGAGGCACATGCCGCTCAGTTCCGGCTATTTCCTGTCCGGCTTGGCTTTGCGAATGCTGGACAGTGGTTCCCAGAGTTGGCGACCGCAGTCTGGGTGGTGGCGATGACCCCGACCAGAGCCACAGCCGGCCCGGGGTCGCAGGTCAAAATTCAGCTCCCACCGCTCCCGCCGTATCAAACACGGAGTGGCGAAACGAAACGGCGGCGCGCTGCGAGCTACCGACAGGTCAGTATGGTAGCTGGTTGTACGCTCTCGCGAGCATTTCATCTCGTACTATCCAACGCAGTTGCTATTCTCAGCCTCGCGCGTATCGAGGGTTCGAGCCCGGTTTGTGGGACTGCGTGTCGTAAGCAATACGCATCGGTGAGTTCAACCAAAAAACAGAACGTGGCGCAATCAAAAGCTTAAAGATCGCGTCACGCCTCGGCTTGCCTGCGTTGTTCCGCCCAGCCGTACCGTGCAGAGTCGCCTGCAATTTATGTTTTAGTCAATCTAGTCTGAGCATATCGATTGGATGGATTTCTGGCGTCAGAGCCTCTGCTAGGCAGTGCTTGTTGAATAAATCCTGACCACATCGCCAAACAGTGCGGACCATGCAAGCTTCAGAAGGCCGTAAACAGCTCCGCGTGTAAATAGCTATTTCCCAGACACCGCAATAATGATCCGAGCGGTGGTCATTCCATCGAGAAGCGGCGGCTCGGGTGGGCGGGTCACGCTGCGCATCCAACACGGCCACAGGGTGATAGAGCAGATATTCCGGCTTGTTTATCATCGGGAAGTCGATCAGGGTCTTGCCAAACCACTGCCGATGTGGTGGGCCTGCCCGAGTACATAACACAGCTTCAGCTGGTCTGCTGACGGAGCCAATGGCCGGAGCAAGGAAATCGGCGCTTTAGCTAAGTACTAGCCTCGCCTGGCTGGTGCTATTGAACCCACGCTGGCCTTCACGCCAGATGATAGCTGATGAAGTAACACTGGACCAGGCCGACCCATGGTCGACTCCGGTAGACTTCGCTCTCTGTGACGCAAACTGGCGCATCCCAGCACGACGCCATTAGTCCGGGTGGCAAAGGTCACGTTTCGGGCAAATACGCCTCTCGGGTCACGTATGGCTAACGATCCGACATCAGTGAAGGCACTGAATTTGATTGGGATACTGGGAAACTGGGTGATGAATAACATTTGTGAGGGATGTGCTTATTCTCTCGGAATACGTTGCCTGGGCAGAGGATTGATGCCAATGGGCTAAAACCGATGCATGGAAAACGTGTAACAATCTTTCTAAACGCAACGAGTGTTTGTTGCGCTACCGTCGAACTCAGCACCCGGTCGTGAAATCCCGGGTCAGTGGTCGAATTTGGCGGCGAAAGCTAGCCGGGCCGCATTGTTGGCACGCTCCGTTCTGCCCTCTGACGTCACCCGACTTTTAGCGCGGCCGCTGCCACCGGTCGCAGGCCATGCTGGTCAAGTCAGGGCATCCCGTCAGTAGCGAGCGGCGAAATCGAAAGCCTCGCTCAGCCCAACCCACCTCTCCACGGGCGAGTACATCGTAAGCCAGACGCTCCGTTAACTGAGCTGGGCTGTCAGGACGGATTTTTGCCTGATGCGTGTTCTTACTGTTCCTTTTCTACGGCTACGCGACGTTTGGCGTCTCTACGTCGCACTCTCACATCGCTACCGCATCGGAGTGTATTTTGGAAAGCTTTAGGGATGGCTGAATTGGATCCCCACTCAAACGCAAGTGAACTTCACATCCACCACTGCTTCAACTTAAACGTTTTATGCACAGCTCATATTGCCAGTCGCAGAGTAATTTAGTGAACCGACAGCTTTTGATATGTTTGTTTCTATGCTGCCATGCGAGAGGTCCATTTAATAATTCCTACGCAAGACAGACATGCTGTTCTTAATAAAGCAGTTTCAATCTTCCCTCAGTGCAGCTCTATCCGCTCTGAAGGCCGTGGCGAACATCACAAAATAATGGCGGCACCACCAACGCTTCCGTAGAACCCAGCGGTGTACACTAGTCATAAAGTCAACCGGCTTTGTGGTCTGGACCCGTCAGTTTGTGCTTAAACAAAGGTGGTCTGCGCAATATTAGCATAATTGTACAAGCCTGGTAATTATGCAGAAGAATTAGCTGTCATTTACTAACGAGTTTGGTCTGGGGTTAGATCGTGTTTAAAGTACTACCTCACCCCATACCAAACAGACAATGACTGATGGGAAGTTTTCACAACTGTTTCGCAGTGCATCGAAGTGCGTGGGTTTCCGCGGACAACCTGCGACCAGACGAATATCGTGCACGCTAGCGGCACGTTCGATGTTTTGTGTTTTTTTGTTCGCCGATATGACGTCTAGTGGGAAAGTCTACCGGTAAAGGGCCTCCGTTCAAGAGGCTTCTACCCGGTTTGTAACCGCTTACCTTGCGTTCCTAAAAAGGCAGATGCTTTTTGACGTTCCACAAACAAATGATAATCGTTCCAGGCTCTGTACCGGATAGTGTGCACCACTAGTCCTCTTCCGTTCCGCGCTTGAATGCAAGCTTTGATCTTTAAGGCTGTCCAGCTCAGTGCAAATGTAAGGCATATCAGCTAGTTAGTCATGAAATAAGTGTCAATGACCGCCTTACAATATTCACAATTTTGCTATGGTGATCTTGTAGCCTGTGGTATTTCAGCGTTGTCGAATTGTTCTTTTTTAAAACGAGCTCGTTTTTACTGTGACACTTTGTGCATAGTTTATCGCATGTGGATATAGAAGCATTTGTGTTACTGTTTACTCCGATTTTGGCGGTGTCTGTCTGTTTTGGGTTTTGTATGCATCATAGGCTCAACCTGAAAATTTATGCCAAAAAGTATTACGAGCTGTTCAAGAACTCTCAACATTGCGAGGTCATAACACATGACTGATTTTGTTTCTTGTCGGAGGCACCCTATGTTTCATTTTGTGCCGCAACCAACGGAGCAAATGTTATCTGTACAGAAATCTTGATATGATCTTTTTGCCTACCGCATCTGCAACTAAACAGACACAGAATACGACGACCAGAATGAGACGTTTGTGA